CCATGGACAGGAAAAAAAAAAAAAAAAAGCAGCAGTATAGAGAAGAAAAAATGTGAACCAAAAAAAAATAGAGTGAATTGTAATCTGGCATGCTGCAGTACATCCTAATAATGCTAATAGGTAAAATCATCAGTGAGCCCAACACCTGCGACAGCTGAGGCTCAGGAGACCACAAAGCTTAATCACTTTATTATACAGAAGAGCTCTCAAGCATAACTACAGACTGACTGCACACTTTCCCTTAAAGGGGTCATATGATGCTTTTTTAAAGATCATTATTTTGTGTATTTGGTGTAACAGAATCTCTTTGGTTTTGAGACTTTAGTCTTTGCAACTTCAGGGATCTTATCTATTCACGAACAGCTTGTAACACTCCAAAGAGAAAGGAAAACTTGAAATCGCATCATATGACCCCTTTAAGCGATAACAGGCGGGGAGGCTTTTTAACCACCAAACTGACTGACATGCTCAGTGTGTTTGTGAGTCTTACCGATGGTCTGTCTCGGTGCGTATTCACAGCATCCACGTTCAAACAGACTGACTCCACCTTACAACCTGAAGACCCAGATTGATTCACAATCAAGACCTGAATAGCATTATTTAAAGAATAATATCCAGATTCTTAAGGAAGGGTGTCTTACCATAGGCCATTGGTGTTAACTTCAATACTGTGTGTAGAGTGCATTTCAGGTAAGGCAATTCCTCTGCAGGAGAAAAACACACCAAATAAATGTAGAAGACTTTCAATTACTTAGAATGCCTTTTTAAATGCATTAATCATCAGTACAACTGTGCAAGTGAACTGAGATTTAAAAAGAGACTAGATCTTCATGAGTGGTGTCACAGTGGTCATTACCTGCAGTCTTGTCCAGAAAGTAGGCCAGCAGGCATCTCATGACGGCCTGATGACAGATGACTAGAACGTTCTCCTGCCGCTCTAACTCCATGATCACAGGTTCCAGCCGTTGGACCAAGTCTTCATAAGACTGTGAGGAGAATACTGGATTACAACACTCTTCCATTTACCATATAACGATCACATCACACACACACACATGCAAACACAAAAGGCTGGAGAAAATCAGCAGCTGACATGAAACGTCATGGGATACTACACTGAATATTTGTACGTCTAAAAGTTCATTCGTCACAGATTGTGAAATTATATTCAAAATATACCATTATAAAATAGAAACAAATAGAATAAAACAGAATTATTAAATGAAAACTTGAAAAAGAAATTAGAAATGTTGCCTTGGCAACTAACTGAAATAAAATAAATTTTAAATAGATTTTAAGTACTAAATTTACTAAAACTGAAATAAAAATAAAGATAAATAGAAATAGAAATAAAAAAAAATAATAAAGATGACAAAATTAAATCAAACTAAAATTAGGATGAAAATAGAAAATATAAAAATAAAAGCTAGTTCAAAATATTAATAAATAGTACTAAAATAATATCATTTTTTATGTGTTAACTACAATAACACAATCTCTGACATGATTTTCACTAAGCACTGACCATTTAATTTGTAAAATAAAAACTAATTATATTGAACGGTTTGAGGCCTACAATTAAACAAATGTTTTGATAATGCACAGTTAGAATTTTTCCAATAGTTCACATCATGTTCACAGAAACCTTTCTCATAACTAAAACTGACAAGCAGCTGAAATGTTTCTAACTGAATTGATAATGAATCAAAATTGATATAAGTACAGTCCTAAAACACGCACCCTTATGTACAGCACTGAAATAAATGCACACTTAAACACAAGACACCAGGACCTTGCACCCAGTCTTTATCTAATGTAGTGAGAACAGTGTGGTGCTTTAATGCTCTCGGAGTAAACAGGTTTGAGATATTGATCTAAATGAGAACTGCCTGCTCTGAAGAACAAACACGCTCACAACTTGACAGATGAGAGGAGCAAATGGAAGTGTGTATGTGCCGGCTGAGGGTAATGGTGTGTTATGTACTCGGTCAGAGTAATAACAGTTCATAAAAACACGCCTTTTTGAAACAATGTCAAAACAGACTTGTTTACTCCATTTCTGAGTATTTGACTGGTGACTAATCCTGAAAATAATGGCTTTCAGAAAGCCTAGCAACCAGCAACATTTGTTTGATGGCTGTTTAATGCACTAAAGAGTGAGGAAAAGCTGCTTGTCGCCAAAGGGACATAAAAGAGCAATACAAACACTGAATGCTAAAATACATCTCGCTATTGTGAATAAGGCCATTAACCCTTATGTCAATTCAAATCAAATGCACAATTAAATAATGCACTGATTGAAAGCAAACTGATCTAATGTAAACCGACCTCTCCTTTGGGATAGCGATAACGATATTTGTCCTGGTCACGTAATGCAAACTCCTGTGGATATCTCTGCTGGATCTCCTCATACATGAGCTCCTCACAAACGCCCTAAACACACATAGATGAACTATGAGTCAATTAACACAATGTCCCTGAAATAAAGACAAGGTGTGTTCACCATTTATAAACAATAGACTTACGGCATCAATTTCATTGAGAGCTTTCCACTGTTCATATGGCACACCCAGAGCTTCTGCCGTCTGTATAGTCCTCTTCATCTGACTCGTCCACACCTTCAAATCCCGTATATTCTGCGACTGGATAAACTGTCTCAAAGCCTTAGCAAACTGAGAAGGAAAGTGAAAAAAACAGAGGTTTAAATTATTAACTAACACAAAAGCACACAAACAGTCGTTCTTTGGAAAGATTTAAGATACCTGAATGAATTGTTTAGTATCTGATCTAATGATAACATACAGTAGAGAAGCTGGACTTTTCTGGGTACTTGTCCAAAAGCTTATTTTTAACAATACAACTTCAAATTTAGGGTGGTACTGATACTGATAAGCAGATAATCATTTGCATGTTATTTATACTTTTGAATATGTTATATATAACATATACTTTTGAACTTGTGAATATATTAAACATTAAAATCTTATTATGAAACAAACAAATATTTCTGTCCTGATTTCATTACGCTTACATGTTATTTCAAGACAATTTTGTATTGTTAGTTACATTAGAATTTATCAGTCAATGTAAATAGGTCTATACAGCTTACCTCCTTTCCCCTGGCCGAGAGCCCTGAGTCTCCACCGATACGACCTTTGATGTTCAGGTCACTCTCTCCATGCCGGCACAAGTAGATGGAGCGGGGCGTGATGTGGATATTCATAAGGTAGTAAACAATTCGGCTCTGTATGTGGTCCTGAACCCGGTTCACCAGGTACCGCCGCCCCACATCTATGATCTTAATGAATGAAAGGTCCCTGAACACACCAAAAAAAGAGCATGTGAAATAGGGTTGTGATGGTGAGGAAAGTTTCCCGCCGGTTAATCGACGTGTGACAACACCGGTAATACCGGTATCACCGTGGGGGCGGGGGCGTTTCCTCTTTTTCTCGCTTTCCTTCGCTTTTAAATAGCTTGCAAAAGCGGCGTTTGCATTTTACTTTAACTTTTAAATAGCGGCAGTTCGGCGTCAATTGCTTGAATGCAACAACAAAATACAACGTCAAACTCACTTTAGCCTATAGAACTTTTATTAACAAAACAAATAAAAATACACCATGCTATAGGGCAGGCTATGCCTAAAATAAAATAACAAATAACGTACATAAAGTTTAAAGAGGTTTACAAAACTGGAAATAGGCTAAGTAAACATGTATAATATATAACCAAATAAATAAGAAACGTAGAACGTTTATTAGCAAAACGAGTAAGAAAGCTTGGAGGCACGGCATACACCTTGATGTCAAATAAAATAAATAAATGACACAAAGTTTAAATAAAGTAAAAATCAGCAAACAATGTGGAACCAATTAAATAAGAAACGAATGTTTAAAAAAAACTTCCAAAATCACCTTAAATAAACGGCAAAAGTCAACAGGCTTTTCAAAATCCAGAATATTGCCAATCAGGCGCTTTTGCATTTCTTTTCGAAACTAAATCATCCGCCATCATCTTGTCTGTCTCACCTCACCTCACTCGTCAGCTCGACTCACTCTCCTCACTGGATAAATGAAGTCTGATCTGTGATGCGACTGTCGTTCGGCACGCTGCATTGAGCGCGTTCAGTTTTTAATTGTAGTGTCTGTTCTTTTACTGAACTAAATGATTTTTATTACTACAAAAAATCAAAACGACGGTGGGGGTCGGTGCCGCGGTGGGCAAGTGGCGTAACCGGTGTTGCGGCTTAACACCGGTATCACCGTCAGCACCGTCTATCGCGGCAAGCCTAATGTGAAATTGATAGATTCATAGATTGAATTAAGTTCAGCAGAACCAAAATGGCATTTACCTGTCCAGCTCCTCATCCAGTGGCTGATAAGAGTTCTCATAACATTTGATCCTCTTCATAAAGTCTGCGACGGCCTCTTCTGTATTACAGTGTATGTAGTCTGGACTGCCCAACTTCACTTGCTGAACACCAAGACCACAAATTTAGACCAAAAACAAGGTGGGATAAAGATATCGAAGATATTCTGCAGTTCTGAGACTTACCACGATGTTCTCTGCAATAACATCCGGGTCTTCACACACTGATTCCACGAAGAAAACCTGAGGGGTGTGAAAAGAGGGTTTTAAAAGAGCGAACCCATGAGAAAAACACCTTAAAGGGGTCCAATTATGCTCTTTTACAAAGTCTTGATTTTGTTTTGGGGTGTACTAGAACAGGCTCTCATATTAGGTTGTTCGAAAAACACATTATTTTTCACATATTTTACATTATTACAACACCTCTCTCCCCAGTCTGGCATGAACGGCTCGAATAGTTCCTGTATCAAACGAAGGCCCGCCTTCTGAAATACGAAATGTGCAGTGATTGGTTAGCTGGGCCAGTGTGTGTTGTGATTGGCAAGCACGTGGCGCCTGGTCGGGAAATGTCATGGCCCTTACCATAGCCGCCTGCAACCT